ACTGCTCTTTGAACATAAATAATCTACAAACAAATTTTTCGGATATAAAAAACGTTATCTCTCTCTGGACACGGAACAAGCACTTTCTCTTATAATAAATTCATTCCAACAATTCATACAAGACTAATAAATCTAATTCTGTTCTACAGTAAAGTATAATTATTCTGATGGCTAACCGAAATAATGAACTACGGATTCTACAATGGAATTGCCGTTCCATACTATCGAAAAACGGCTTTCTGGAAAAAGTTATTGAAGATAAATAATATACGCAGTTCTACTGTGTGTTTGATACTTGGTTGAAGATATGACATAACTTACGCTTTTCGGGGTATCATTTCCTATGTCCTATCCTCCTAAGACAAGTTAGAGCGGATGGACATGGAGGAGTTGGTATTCTCATAAAACATACGCTACCATTCATCCATGCTCATACTAACCATAACATTCAAAATTTTATGATTGTAGGTGTACAAATCCAACTTAGGAACTCTCGCCCTTTAACCAACTTATCTGAGTACAATAGCTATAGACACTCTTAGCCCTTTGGAGTTGGGATTCATTTCTAAAGAGCCTTCCGAAGCCACTGATTCTAGCTGGCGATTTCAAAGTCCATCAATCTCTCGCTTTTGGGTCCGATTGATCAGAATCAACAAGAAGGGCGTTATTACAAGCAATAAACGAGAATCAGTTAGTTTCCTCAATGATGGGATTCCCACTAACAAAGTAGGATCTTACTTGTCTAGAAAATCTGTTCTTGATTTATCGCTTTTCTCTGCGGATATAGCCTCTAAAGGAAGTTTGAAAGTGTTGGTCGATCCCATAGGTTCCGACCATTTCCCAGCGCTGATTACGTTATCACTCCCCGAAATTTCTAGGCTAGTTTTCTCTAATAGAAAATGGAACGTAAGTAGAGAGGACAGGCCTAAATTCCAAAGGCTGATGGATGTTAGTTCATACGGAGTGGAGTATGCAGTTAACATTCATAGAGTAATAGGATAATTTGGGCAAAATTTGCAAAGGGTCTATACCGATTTATTAACTACAAACCAACAAGAGAATATTATTGTCGAAATCATGGTGGACCGACGAGTGAAAAGCTATTATGACGAAGGGACAACCAACTTTAAAAGAAACTTAAATCTTGCAAACTACATTGCGTACAAGCGTTTCCCTGCAAAAGCTCATAAAGTCATAAAACTGGCAAAGAAAAAAGCTTGACACACCTATTCTACTTTAAATAAAAGTTCTTCTCTAGTAATTGTACGAATCGTAAATTGTCGGTGGATGATTGGGTGGTAAAATTCCTTAACGAACTCTGCCCTAAGGGCTCCTTAATAATTTCTATCAGGAAATTGAAAACGGTTCTGCTCCTGGCTTTGGTCAAATTCACTATTCAATTAATAAATATTCCTTGATCTATCCATGTAAAATGATAATCCTTCATTTATTTAATAAAATTTGGCTAAACGATATGTCGAACCGTCTGCTTGGAAAGTATCGATAATTAAACTGATATTGAAATCTAATAGAGATCCACAAAATGCCAATTCATATCGCACTTTCTCACTAACTTAGTGTGTAGCCAAAGTATAAGAGATTAATAAAAAATCGCATCCAATGATGGCTGCAAAGAAATCGAAATCTCGCAAATGGTCAGTTTGGTTTTTGCAACAAGTGGTCGATCTTGAACCTCTGTATATTTAGCAACAAGATGTCACTAATGGTGATCCCGCATATAGTTATTAGTAATATAAGGAATATGGTTTCCAATGGCAAAATATTAATCTGTATCATTGATTCAAATTTTCCATGTACCACGGACTTCCTCAAGGTGGAATTCTGAGCCCTATCTTGTATTGCATTTATGTATACGTCCTAGAACAGCTCCTTCACTAGGTATTGCCCAGCTAGCTGATGATGTCTGCCTTTATGTGAAAGATAGATCGATAGAAATAGGTAAGGAAATTTTGATGGCCTGGCAAGTTTTATGAAAATTAATTTTCGCACTCCATTCTCGAGGACAAGGTCTCTTTCTTTCGGAGGATCGGTTGATATAGAGGGACTTTTATCTTCAAAGTTAGAATCGGTAAAATTTTAAGGAATTGTAGTGAATAGAAAACTTACATGGAGAAATCATATAGAATATGGCAAGAATTTTAATCCATTGATTCCTTTGTCAACTGTAAATGGTTTCAAAGCTGTCCCAAAAGGAATGTTCTTTAAATCAATCAACCATTGCATGGAAAAGAAGCCATGGTTCGATAAAATGGACTTAACAAAAAAAAAAGTTAAACAATGAACAGAATCCGTACCATGGGTTATGTGGAACATTCCTGTTCAGAATAAATAAGCGTTGTTCTGATTTATGCAACCGTTGCAATACTGACAAAGATCATGAGCATATCATAATGTACTATTCCTCTTATCAGGGGAAGAAGGGAAGAAATATTAAACCGAATCCATACATCACGATATGATATAACAAACCAATAAATTATAAATATTTATTAAGTTTGAACGATACAGTAGTCTATATCTACATACTATCTACAATATAGATATTTAAATTTGTTTAAGGAATTATTTATAAATTAAATTATTTGTTTATCTGGTTGTTGTAGTTGTTGTTGTTATATTTAATAATTTGGTTTTGTAGTTAAATGTAATATACATAAAAAAATTAGTTTAATAAATTATTTATTTATGAGGTTGTTATATTTAATAATTTGGTTTTGTAGTTAAATGTAATATACATAAAAAATTGTTTAATAAATTATTTATTTATGAGGTTGTTATATTTTAATAATTTGGTTTTGCAGTTAAATGTAATATACATAAAAAAATTGTTTAATAAATTATTTATTTATGAGGTTGTTATATTTAATAATTTGGTTTTATAGTTAAATGTAATATACATAAAAAAATTGTTTAATAAATTATTTATTTATGAGGTTGTTATATTTAATAATTTGGTGTGTAGTTAATTGTAATATACATAAAAAATTGTTTAATAAATTATTTATTTATGAGGTTGTTATATTTAATAATTTGGTTTTGTAGTTAAATGTAATATACATAAAAAATTGTTTAATAAAGTATTTATTTATGAGGTTGTTATATTTAATANCACACACACACACACACACACACACACACACACACACACACACACACACACACACACACACACACACACACACACACACACACACACACACACACACACACACACACACACACACACACACACACACACACACACACACACACACACACACACACACACACACACACACACACACACACACACACACACACACACACACACACACACACACACACACACACACACACACACACACACACACACACACACACACACACACACACACACACACACACACACACACACACACACACACACACACACACACACACACACACACACACACACACACACACACACACACACACATAAACGCTAATATTTCTTTAAATGTATAAATTACTTATATAACAAACTGGAAGATGACCTATGGCTTATTAAAACGTCAGTAGACAATAGTGTCACCTTCCAAAAATTAAGCCTACATTTCACTTGACAAACAGTCAAAAACCTTAATATAATAGTAAAATGTTTAATTAGGTTACAACCAGAAACAATGGAAAAATTTCACATTATGACAAAGGAACAAGGAAGTCAGGAAATTCGATTTAACGGTGAGGCGTACAACGTTTTAACAGTAAGTTAATGCTTAATGTATAATTATGCAAATATTTTAAAACGTAATATGCTTTACTCAGAATACATTCGTCACAGTGAATGCGATTATGTCAGTTTCCATGTGGATCTATGCTCGGCGCCAACTCACATAATCTTTGCAGTTTGAATGGAAGATAACTGAATTGCATTATGATCCACTCATGAGTCAGTCTACTTAACGGTAGTCCTTTTATTTAATCGAAAGTGTTTGAAGTGATTACAGTACAGAAAAAGTAGTTTCGATCTTATACAAGATTATCGTGATTTTATATGCTAAATACAAAAATAAATAATAGTTAAAAAAATAAATTGAGAACGAAATAGCGCTTTATTTTTGTGTTGTTGATGAAGTGAAACAAAAAATTACTCACAATTCTGTCCTTGATAGAAGTTACGAAGGTCTTATTCGGATCAGTGAAAGTCGTTCCTTCTTCTTCTCCGACGCCCAAAGTCATCAGAAGAGGACGTGCTCATCTTTCTATCATTGTCACATTTGGTCGACGCATTACAGCCGATGATTTCCATCGTCCAGAGACGGAGAAAACTATATTTATGCGGACTAATAAGTTTTAATTGTGAGATTTTGTTTTTTCAATTTTCGGTCGTGGCAGAATAAAAAGTCTCATTACCCGGAGGCAGAACCTTGCTTGTGAAAGCATTTAATTAAAACAATCTTCTTGTGTTCTGTTTCTTTGACCTTTTAAAGCACGGGAGATTAGATGAAGCGTGTGAATGTGCACAACCTATATAACAGGCCTTTTCATAGTAACTATTATGTATTATATTGCGTTCAATCCGTTTTCTTTCATACGATGTCGGCCAGGAGTACAAGTTAAACGTCTATTGTTTACATCAGAATGAATTGTGTTCCATTTTACGCGGCTTCAAGTATAGGAAAACCATAAATTCATAATCATTATCATATTTGATTCTATTTCCAGTTGACATCATTTTAAAACGTTTTGTACAAGTGTTAAGGACCTAACAGAAGCAGAACAGGTCGTGAAAAGGTGTCAAGAATATACGGAAGATCTGTATAAGAAGGATAATATTATTGCAGATAGCTTTGACAGGGTGGTCAATGAGTCAGAGCCAGAGATCCTGAAGAGTGAGTTTGAATGAACATTAAGAAACATTGCTAATAACAAGGCAGCAAGGACAACAGTATTCCCAGCCGAACTGTTTAAAATCTTGTACGATGTGGTCAAGGTGATGCCTTCCATATGCCAGCAAATTGGGAAAAGATCAATTTGTATCCCCATACAAAACAAGGGAAGCACTAAAGTATGTTCAAAGTGAACTTATTTCACATGCTAATAAGGTAATGCTCAAGATCTTGCAACATTAGATAGATAGATTCCAGCAATTCATGGAGCGGGAATGTCCAGATGTATAAGCTGGATTTAGAAAAGCCATATGAACTAGAAACTAAATAACCAATATACGCTGGGTAATGAAGAAAGCCAGGGAGTTTCTGAAAAACATCTGTTTCTGTTTTATTGACTAAAGCCTTTGAATATGCGGATCATAATAAATTCTGACAGATTTTTGGTGGTGTTCAGATACCAAGACATCTTGCTTGCCTCCTGAAGAATCTGGAAACGACTTAATAGCAACGGTAAGAACAGAGCACGGAACAACGGACTGGTTTAACGTTGGGAAAGGAGTAGGGCAAAGTTGTATACATTCACCCTACCTATTCAATCAACCTGTCGCATCATGCGACGTCCTTGGGGAATCCGAGACTGTTGTTAAATCGCTGGAAGAAACATTAACATTCTCAAATATGCAGAAGAGATGTTGATCTGCACTTTCTTGCGATCTCACTTTGATGCGAGGAGATGTTGAATATCCTTATGACGAGGGTGAAAGAAGAGCGAGGAAAGCTGGGTTGCAGTTAAACCTAAAAAACAAAAAAAACAACAAGATTATGGCAATCAGCATAATTGATAACTTGCAAATAAAGGGAGAAAAAGTGTAGGCAGTGACAGTCTTTGTTTTTCTAGGCGCGAAGATTATTGCACACGTTGATTACATCCAGAAGACGTCCACTTCTTAGGAGGAAAGTAATGGCAATTCTTGATAAAACAGTTAAGGGCAGAGACATCATACTGACAACAAAGGTCAGCACAGTTAAAGCAATGATGTTGCCAGTAGTAATCCATGGCTGCGAGTGCTGGACCATAAAGAAGGCTGAGCTAAGAAAGATAGATGCTTTTGAACTGTGGTGTTGGAGGAAAATTCCGAGAGTGCCTTGGTCTGCAACAAGATCAAACAAGTCCTACTACAGGCAAAAAGCCAGACCGCTCCCTTTGAGGATATTCTAGTAAAAGCAAAACTGAAGTACTTTAGCCACATAATGAGAAGTCAGGATACCTGGAGAAGAACCTGATGATAGGGAAAATGGAAGGCAAAAGAAAGAGAGGCAGACTAAGCCGACTGAACGAATAAACTACACAAGTGCATTTAATATAATTTTTAATATAATTCAAGACAAAAATTCATCTGCTTTTAAAAATTTCTCTAAATGTCGCAGCCTTAAAACTGTATTCCTAATTTTATTAAATACAAAAATTACATTTTCCCAAGATAATATGTAGTTGAATAGAAGATATTGGTTTATTAGAGGATTATAATTTCCGCATTATCCTTGTAACTAGAGCGAGTAATTTTGAGTTGATTAACCGGTGGAACAACATTCACTGTTCTATTTAAAACTTAAAGAATTCGTAGCAGTCATTTCAACCAGGGGCCAAAGCCCGCGTATGAGTCCGGCATACAGAGAAATAGTTCCTCGATATGTCCCACCTAATGGAAGGGTGCAATGCCTTGGCTCCATACAGAGAGCGCGCAGGAATGCTACCCTATTTGGGAATTATGATTGAGCATAGCAGCGAGTATCTGGTTCCCCTGCTACAATTCTTGTAGGAAACGGGGTTGTTATATTGTATATAGTAATAATAGTTGTGTATCTTGTGTTGAGAGGGTCGATGGCGGAATATCGAGTAACCCCCATCGACCCCCAATTAGGTTAGTTATATAATACGTGTAAAGGAAATTGAATGAATGGACTATAAATAGGAATGAAAGTATTTAAGAATGATCGTGGGTACGAATGGATTTGGAATTGCAGGCGTTGGGTGTTGAATTGACCTAGCCGTGGACAGCACCCTTCCCTCGGGAGCCTAACTTCGGTGAATGGACGGATAAGACTGAGGTCTCCTGGAGTGCCAATACTCGGGGTAGGTGATTCTTGAGTCTGCCAGCAGTTGACTTAAATAGCAAAAGCCCAGACTTGGCGGTGTACTACGAGAAGCGAATAGGCTCAACTATGCACGTGTTTGTATGTATATGTGCGTATTTGAGATTATATAAATCGAAATCCATTTCAATCAGTATCAGAGGTTGAGTTATGTATTAAATATTTACTTAAATGCCGGGAATCTTCGTTCGGTAAAACTGGTACCCAACTGGCTCGAGTCAAAAATTCATTCCCCGAGACCAGGTCATCGCAGAAAGTAAGATTTAATAGCTAGCTGGACGGGGGTTCGTCCAAAAACCAATATAGCAGGAAAGATTGAAAATTTACATTGGTGAGAATGACCCTTGCGGTAGTTAACTTTCATCCTCAAACTCCTCATTGGAAGTACCTGTTTTTTGTGTGCACACTTTCAAAAAATTTACCAAACAGTGGTATGCTTCGAGCCGGACCGGACCTCCTTGACTCCTTTTTATCTCGGAATCCGCTTGAAAATCCCTATTTAACATGGAAATACGACTGTCAAATCAAGCAAACAAATGTACGCACTAAGTTCTTTCTGCTTACGTAATTTAAAAAAAAACCGAAAGTGCTACCTGGTTGAAATGTTCATGACTTCCTTTTTTCTAAAAAACAATGGTTTTAATTGGTAATTATTAACGAAAACTTTCATGAAATCCATATTTGAGTTAGGAAAAAATGATAAAATTTCCCGTGTTAAATACAGGTTACAAAGACATGGAGGAACGGATTCGAGGAAAGGGGTTCGGATCGCCCCTTTCTAATGGGAGACCAGGATCAGGTCTACTTTCACTTATCGGCATAACTCGTCAAACCACATAGCCCATGTACTAAATAAGTTCCCCTCTTCCATATTTCTCTTAAAATTAACCAATGGCATATTGTAGATAATAAATAATTTAAAATAAATTAATGTATTTCTTCTAGACGAAGAACACACAGCCCGATATAAAAAATTTAAACTGGTTCGAATTGTGAAATAATTGAAAATTTTGACTGCCACACTCGAACCATGGCCTGATTAACCGCGGTTTATTACGCACCAATGCAGATCTACTGTTCTGTTTATGCTATAAAGTGAAATTATTTGAAATGTTAATGAATGGAGTGAATGCGAAACATTCCGCAACGCTCATTTTCCTTAGTTTGGTTTATATAAGAAATCAGACAACATTCTACGACTTTAATTGAGTTTCATGCATAGTTATTAGCGGTAATTGTTACTTCGTGACAAGCATTGGCGTTAGAAATTTAAGAAAAGTATTAAATAAACATTATTTTTACGAATGTGATTAAGTTTTATTAGAAGAAGAATAATCAAGGATAGAATGTGAGTTTACTTTTTAAAAAGTATTCATTGTTTAGCTTTCTCATTGTGCGTCCATGTTTTTATTGTCCTTCAGTGTCCTGTTTATGTAGTTTTTTTGGACATATTAAACGCATCTCTTTGTTCCGTGTGAAACAATCGTGCGATTAAACTCTTACAGGGATACTAATTATCATCATCACTTTTTTTCTTTTTTGACTATTTAAATATTACATACATTACGCATATAAACTGCTCAAAACTATAATATTGCCAATTTTGGAGTATTTATTTTCCCTAGCATTTTTATTTTATTTTTATTATGAATTGCATCAAAATTTATTAGAGATTATTATTAATTATTACGTAAGGAAAATTTAATTAAGGGATTTTGAAAAATAAGAAAATAAAAGGTTTTAATTCCATAATTTTATTTATTGGACACGATAATTTTTTTAACAGCCTCTTCGAAATACATTGTCAGTATTTTTTAATGTCGTTAACCAGCATTTATTATTTTTCAAAAATAGAATGGCAACCTATTTAAATATTTCGGCATTTCTTTTTGAGGTCTGCGAGCTGATGGACCTGTGGTTTGGTCTTTTTCGATCTTCCCCGGTCAGCCCATCCTCGTTGTTTTGCCAGGTCGTCATTTTCACTGGTTGGTCTGCTCTTTTGTGAGGCAAAACCCACCACCGAACAAGACGAACGCGTCTGATCGATGAAAATGTTCCGAAAGGTTCAGCACCTCCAGAACCCTCAAAGGTAATTTATTTATTTTAATACTTTACAGGGGGATGACCCCCCCCTCGAATCAGTACAGTCATATTACAATATTTAAAATTAAAAAAATTCAAATATTAACAAAATTAATAAACTAATTATAATTATGACGACAAGCATTTACACATTTCCACATACACACTCCAATGATCCAAATATATCTAAATTAAGTACGCCGCAGATTTCATTAAAGGCCTTTTGAAGGTAAGTCATTATACCAAATTTTTCGTAATTAGTCCTATAAAACTGGGTATAAAAACTTGCTGACGACAACTGTGAGCAGGGGCATGGAAATTTATCAGATTGAGAAGTTGCGGACAGGAGTAATGGAAGTAATCTCAGAATATTTGATTAATGTTGCAATTCTTTAATTTACTGTAACATAACAACCTTTAACATGAGAATGAATATGAATTGTTAACTTAGTTTAAAACCTTTTCCCAATTTAACATGTATAAGAATTTTAGGTTGTTTACACATAAAGCCCGACAAGATATAGCCCACCCTAGTATTTTGTCTACACATTAAAATTGTGAGTCTTCATTAATTTTTTTGTTAGCATAAATGACGTTTCCAGTATAATTTTAATTAAATCTTGATATTTAAGATTTGTAAAATTTTAATCCCTGGAAATAATAGTAAATATTGACTTTGAGGTGGGACAAAAAGCGAGCACACCTGTTGTTTGTAAACAAACATAATACCGACCAACTGAAAGAACAAATGGTATTTCCAAAAAGGCAAATAGGTGGAGGATATAAGAAGTGGCATCTGTAGCAATAAAAAAATCTTTCTCACAGAATGAGCAGTATGCAATAGATGCAGATGTGGATGTATTAGGCGGGGTGTGTTTTATACTGCGCCCTTGTATTCCACGTCCTGTGCTTATCGCACACCGGTGAGTCCTAGTTCATCAAGAAACTTGATTAGTAGCCCGGTCTCTTCTAAGGTCGCATTTTACGCTCGAAAACACTTCCTCATGCAGGCAAGTGTAGCACCACGGTTTGTTACTAGGTGTGTGGGTGTTTACTCTGCTTCCTTACAGAATCTGCACGTGCTGGATTATAGCAATCTTCTTCAGATTCAGTGTACAGTGTCCTGCTAAGAATCCTGTTAGGAGTCACAGTTTTTTCCTCCTTCCTTTGATACATTCCGTTTTTTCTTTCCTTCCAAAATTTGTTAGAAAGTGCTTGGATTGTTTGTGTCCAATGAGCAAGTTCAATTGTTCCTCCATTTTCTTTTTATCCTTCTGTCTGAGGTTTTCATTGATTGCGTGTATTCCTATGCTACAGAAGGGCTCGGATTTTATCAGCGGTATTACAACCCCTCTTCTTGCAAGGGTATCCGCTTTCTCGTTGTCTTGTACTCCCACATGTCCTGGAACCCAGCAGAGGCTGAGTTCGTTTTGCATACCTAATTTGCTTAGTTTTGCAATTCAGCACCATCTTTGAGCTAATGGTGTTTAAACTTAGCGCTTTGATTCATGGCTACCTGACATGATAGTTATAATATTCTTGTTTTTATATCATTTAGT